CAGCGGACTTGAAAGTGTTCCTTAGTAAATCTGTAAGTGTGACTATGGGACTTAAGGGATGCATAGCAGTATCGAAACCACTCCTCAGTGCTACTAACAACAAAGAGACTGAAGTAGGTCAGGCAATTTTTAATTTGGACAGTTGCTGACTGGAAGAAGGTCCTCTGGAGCGATTAATTGAAAATTGAAGTTTTTGGTTCCAAGAGAAGAGTATCTGTCCGCCGTCGGACTAACAAGAGGGCATTAGAATCAAGGACAGTCGCTTCAATCAAGTACGGTGGATGCTCTATAATGATTTGGGGCTCTTTGAGGGATATTGTGAGAATACAGGGAATACTGAATAAAGAGGGTTACAAAGGCGTACTACAAAATCATGGGACTCGCCCTATTGGTTTGGGGTTTGTCTTTCAGCACGATGATGGCCCCGAACACACATCCAAGCTCTGTAAACCATTTTTGGAAGCAAAAGAAGAACACAATATTTTGAAAGTCTTTCCAATCTCCGGATTTGAATTCGATACGGTGACTGTGAGAAGAACTGGACAGACAAATAGGGAAATTTTGTCCTACATCTCAAGAACACTGACTTAGAATATTACAAGACGAAAAATGGCGAAAAATAGCCCCATCCACCTAAGAAAAATTAGTGCGCGTTTACCCATTTGCCGGACTGTAATTAAAAGTAAAGAACATATTTATAATGAGTCAAAAATATGATAATTTTGATTATGAATAGTTGTATGTTGTGAAGATAAATGTTTCATGCAGATATTGTAATGTTTTCTTTAATCAGTTTCCCTGTTTTCTGGGTGTTCTGATACTTTTGAAGGGTAGTGTGCATGCGTGCGAAATAAAGCGAAAAAGACCAACAGAATACACGAATAAAACCTCTATCCGTCGTTCGTCGTTTGTCAGAAGAGGCACTATAAGAACGGCTCGTTGCTCAGGGCAAACCTAACCTCATAAATCATGCCATTACGGTCCTACAGCTTATTAACTTTTGCGGTCTTTCACCGTTTCCCGATTCCAGCAGAAATTAATGGTTTCTACATTAAATACTTAATTTTGTCGAGTTGTATAGATGCTCTCTGATATTACTACCGTACCTAAACTTGGAGTTGTAACGTTACGCGAAACTGCCTCGGGCGTATCGGAAGTCAGGTTGAAAGTGGAACGAGCCGTTAGGAAAAGTTTAAGCAAATGTGAACGCGCTAACATGGTATTGGGCTTTGTACGTTGATTTTTATACGAGTTTATCCAACAGAAATAAGAGCAAGTATCGCAACGGGGGTCTTGTGGCACATCATTTTGAAACTCCTGACGAGTACTTTATAACCCTAAAATATAAAACCTACTACAAAATGGTGGTACATTTAATAATTACTTGAACACAAACCCACTAACATGCATATCTCTACAAATAATTGTAATTCCTTGCCGTATCCACAGCAACAGCGATAAAAACTTGTTTTGTTATTTTTGCTGACAGTGACAAGAATATCAGTACGAAAACAAACATCATTGTACACTTAAAATACTCTTATTTAGTTTCTGGTTTTAGTGCTACATACTGTTTGAACAATTTTTAAAATAGTCCATTCTCGTCTATTGGAAGAAAAAATGGAAGTGATTTTTATTTATGGTGCGACGCGTCACTTTCACGAGACCGAAGGATTTTTAATGATCGTTTCCCGAATTGTCCTATCGGTAGAAAATATTTAAGGGAACTTGTACTTAAATTTACAGCTACTGGTAGTGTAAATAACAAAAAGCCCCCAGTTCATCCGACCATCCCGGAAGAAAAGCAAGTTCAAATAATTGGTGAGATCATAGTAAATCCCCAAAGAATACATAAAGCTCAAAACTCGTGCTTACAACTCATTCATGGAATTCAACGTAAAAAAAGCATTCCTCATAAGCTAGATGAAACAAACTGGTTAAATATGAAAGATATACGAGAACTGCATAGCGCATAAGGTTGTGACCATGAAAACTCTTTCAAATTTATATATAGTAAAAGTAACATAAAGTAAACATAAGGTCTAAAACTACAATCACACCACCAGCTCTTCGTACTGCTCTCTTTGGAAGATCTTTCTCTAATAATATCCGCAAAACATATAATGCTGTCCCTCAACACTTGAAATTCAAATCGCTAGATTCTTTCACCAAATACTACTTCAGGCTTCTGAGACCTCGCTATAGTAATGTATCAAGTCACATATATAAACGGCTCATTTTTATACTTTATGTAATCTCAACATGCACCTACATATACACCTATATGATCACATTTCATACATATATTTTATTCGTATTAAGTGCAATATCTACTTTTAAGTGGAATACCAGCTATTCCCTAGGAATGAAAGCTGAACCTTGCAGTCAATAAATTAAGATGGTTATTATTATCATTCAGAGATCACTTTATTGGAGATCTGAGCTGTAAGTTGTTTACTACATCTTACTAATTTCGTTGGTTTCTTGTCTCAAATACACTTTCTTGAGTCGTATGCAAAGCTAGAAATTAGTTGCACATTCGCTTTTCCTTATTCGTCCTGGAAATTTCATACGCAAATTTGCTGAATTTGAGAGAGATATAAAGGAAATCCTTGGTAGGTGAAGTACATTACGTCTAACAGCCGAAAAAATAGAGTACAGACAGGAATATTTATGAAACGTGAAAACATTATTACATTTTGCATTATTAGTCACTTTAACGTAATTTATTTTGCGATATTTTGAAGTATAAAACACAAATCATCCCGTATATGTGAGGTACTGCGGAAATGAATTCTTTACAAGTTTCGCAATGGCATATGAATATACTCCAAAAAATGCAGCTTTTTTCTAAATTAACGTAAGCTGTATCTCCGACAGGTATTGAGATCTTCTTACAGCGTGTCTTTATCTTGGAGAGTCTTTCAATAGCAATGAACAAATCCCTTCTCAAAACCCGGTTGTCTGTCTTGACACGAATCTGGAAACCTCACAGCATTGCTCAGTATTGGGTGAAATTTCATAGCTATTTTTGCGCTTTTTGATTGCCAGGTTTCTCCAAATCCTTGCTTCTGCAATCAGTAGATTTTCATTATCTTTATCAATTTACTTTTTTGGTAATGTGTTGGATAAGGTGCTATCAAGTTCAAAAAGGCCACCCGGCACGATACAACTTGCCGACACTCTGTACTTTCGTTTAAACCTCAGAGCAGGTGTGCTCTTCTACATTATGGAACGACGCTGTTAAAATTCATACATGATAAGCTCCTTAGATTCTACATACTTATCACAATGACCCAGTCGTTTTAGACGGCAGATGAGACATATTGATAGATATTGCCACTTCCAAAATATTTAGCTTTCCATTGATACGTCACAACGGCTTGTCTTTGTTAGGACTCATCGACTTCAACTGCTGCCTGATGAAGAATCATCGTTGCTTTCATGGTCAAGTTCTTTCTTTTTGTTATCACTATCGTCGTTGTCGTCGTCACTTTTCACTGCCATCACTTTTGTTGTTGCTTTTATCATCATCATCGTTGTCATCAGCATTCCTCTTGTTGTTACACTTGTTTTTGTTATTGCATTTGTCATTATGATCATCGCTTTCGCTATTTTCGTTATCTTTACACTTGCTAGTCTTATTATAGCATTTGTTATCGTCGTCGTCACCTTTACTATCGATATCACTATCGTGACTATTTCTACACGTCTTATTGTTATTGCAGTTGTTATCATCGTCTTTGCCCTCTCTATCGCCACATCAGGAAATGCAGGTTAACGTTTATATGTTATGTATTTTTTTGTGTTGTGTTTTAAAAATTAGTGACATCAATTTCAAGAAACGGTGTGCTTTCAGCCTTTGCTTACAGTGCAAAATAAAGTTTTGCCAACCCTCAGAAGGCCTACCGAGATAGTGTTTTGTAAAGAGCCCAGATTTTTCAGTGGTTTGAGGTATTGAAAATGAACTACACAGCGGAAGGCCTTTATCTTCAAGAACCGATGAAACTACCGACAGAATCTGGGATCTTGTGAAATTCTTAAATATATCTGGACTTCACTATATCAGCTACGTTATGGTCGGCCTATTAACTGCAGGTTTACCTACCCTGCAAGACGCAAGGATGATGGTATAATGTAATAGACAGATAGCTATCCTTATGGGGGGTTGTTATCTAAACGGTAAGTACTCGTAATGGAGCAACCGTACGAGGCTTAAGTGCGTATATTAAAGTTATCATCAAAGCATTAGACAATAAACTAGTAACTGACGACTAAGCACCATAAAGCTCAGCTTATTTTATGCCAGAATGGACAAAATACTAATTATGCGTGGGGATTGCCATGATGTGTTTTGTAACTTTTGAAGTAACACATATAAGAATGCACTTATATACCTAGATACAGAGGATTTTCCATGTAAATTCACTAGGTATCATGATTATAAGCATCTTTGGTGGATTGTTCGATCCGGAATGTAAAAGATCTCCTATTTATGAAAATACTTCTGGTATAATCTAACCGTTGCAATCAGTGCACAAACACTGTGACATATGATTTATAGCAGAACCCGCTGCCCTATCAATACAAATTTAACATACAGGTCGCCTAGCCGTGGGAATGCAGTGGTCGGGATGAATATCACGGCAGCAACTGATGATTTGGGCATGTCTGGTAACAACGTTGTATTTAACGGACTGTTACCCTATAGGTGGAGAATGACGGACTGTTGATTTGACAACCTTGGTGAAACCCACCCTAAGGGTCGTATCGTCACTTGTTGCTACAATTGAAGGACGCCTTTATGGCCTCCTTGGCTGGAGTATTTCTAGATTTGTACGGTTCCGTGTCAGCGTCTGTGCTCTCCTATTGTGAGTTTATGTTTTCTTTTTGAATCTTAAGAAATTTCAGGCTGATAAAATTTTGATGAGTTGAAGGTCATTTCCAAGCTTCGTTATCGTATAGGAAATTTCTGATCATTTTTAAGCGGAACCGGAAAGCTATTTGCAGATGTCTGAATTAAAAAAGTTCCAAATTATTCAAGTTTCGGTTTTTTGTAAGGCGCAGTAAAAAATCTTCTTCGGGCTTGAAAAATTAGAAATTTTAGACATCTCATTTATTGAGCCATGTAGGTCAATCCTCAAAGAAAATATTTGTGACCATATCTAGATTTTTTTTAACTTATTTTTGTAGTACAGATTTTAAAAGATTTAAAAATGTGTTCGTGTGATAGCACTAGTGTGACATCATACCGATTTTCGTCTTATTTCTTATTGTTAGTTAACTGATTTTTATGAAATCCCCGTCACATGTAAATGCTTGAAGTTTTTGGAGAATAGCAATCATGTACGATTCGTACCTTCCGCCAATGTTCAGTAGCTTCCGCTTGGGTATGGGAAATTACATTTACTTTCAAAAGGTTCAGTCCCCTTAGGCTGCTCCCTTCCTTGTTATACAATCCGTGAAATTGCCTGGAGCATTTTAATATCCAAAACCCAGGAGAAACGCTACTTTGACTTTGTAAACAGACCTTACATTGTAAACAGTTAGAACACAGCTCTGATTTTTTCAATGTGACGTATCCTAATAGAAATTCGAACAGCGTATCTTCTTAATATTTTACGCTGAGCCAAATTCTTCGTTAATCATATACAGAGTGCTAATAAATCATCGGACATTAGTTCAGGGGGTGATTGCTTGAGCGATTTTGAGAAAAATGCTCACACAGGTCACAAACTGCGTCATTTCCGGATACAGGGTGTTTTTTGGAGTAGGAGAGCAACAATGTGAACATATTCAGTATTCTGCTGTTATTACACTGGACAACAAATTTTAGTTTTTTAATTGTATCTTGTGGGAACAGTGCACTTCTTTGTTAATTTTGGGGCGCTGAATCCAAAAATGACAATGAAATAAAAAAATTAGTTGCGGTTTAGAAAAAAAACTTTTTATTTTTAAGGATATATTAAAAAAAGTAACAAGATTCATATACCTGTAAGAATCACTATATGCGCTGTCTTTTTGCTGTTCTTTTATGGATCGTTTCTGGAGCATCTCTACCAAGAGTCCAACAGTAGTCTGCAAGCATGGAAGGATTCCACTTTCCCTGGTACCTTTTTCCCATTGTTGAAATATCCTGATGAAAACGTTCGCCGTGCTCATCACTTACGACTCCGCAATTGTCAGGAAAAAAGTACAGGTGTGAGTGTAGGAAATGTATCTTAAGAGACATATTACAGCCCATCTTTTGATACGATGACAGCATATTTTTGACAAGGGTTTTATAGTTGTCAGCTTTTCTATTTCCCAAGAAATTAGTGACCACCAGACGGAAATCATTCCAAGCAGTTTTTTCAATACCTGTTAAAGTGTTTTCAAACTGTGTATCTTTCAAGATATTTCGAATCTGTGGCCCAACAAAAATACCTTTTTCATTAAGCCCAACTTGATATGCAGTGGTGGTAATAAAAATTTGTTCGATTCTACTAATGGCATATGGTGTACATTTTTTTGACCTGGCTCTAGGAATTGACGAACAGGCCAGTTGTGTCTGGTGTAATGAAGTGCCTTTGCCCGACTGTCCCATTCACACAAAAAACAGCAAAACTTTGTGTAGCCTAGCTGCAGCCCAAGTAAAAGTGCAACAACTTTCAAATCGCCACAAATATGCCATTGGTGCTCATCGTATTTTATGCATGTCAATAGGTACTTCATATTGTCATATGATTCTTTCATGTGAACTGCATACCCTACAGGAAGAGATGGTAAAATATTTCCAATATGCAATAACACTGCCTTTAAACTCAATGTTGAACTGTCTATAAACAATCTCCATTCTTTTGGGTTATAGTTTATATTTAAAGCCGCCAGTAAGCCGTTAATGTTACTGCAGAAAACCAAGTTATTCTCCATATTGAAAAATGGTTGTAAGTCTTTGTGGCGTTTACGAAAAACACATACCGAAACATCGTCTTCTAACAAGTTCCACTGCTGCAGTCTTGATCCAAGTAACTCTGCCTTATATTTTGGAAGTTCTAAATCTCTTACAAGATCATTTAATTCTGACTGTGTTATTTTGTGCGGTTGGTGGCATGACGTGCTCGGTATAAAATCAGGATCTCTTGACGTTGATGGCATATCTTCTTCCTGACGAATCACTTGATCGCCATGATCTGATTCGTTTTCTAATTCGCAAGTGTAGGATTCTGGAGGTTTTGGAATAGGATTTTCGTCACTGTGTGGCACAGGTCTCATCGCAGATGGTATGTTTGGGTAGTTAATAACCGATTTTTTTTTTCTTGGACATACCTGTGGCTCGTCCAACACAAGGTACCATGCAAAAGTAACAATCATTAATATGATTTGTAGGCTCTCTCCAAACCATTGGGACAGCAAAGCGCATAGACCGTTTTTTGCCATTTAACCAGCTCCTCAGACTTGAAGCACATGTATTACAGCAGATGTGGGGTGCCCATCTGGATTGTTTACACACTTTCGAGACATCTTGCATGAACGCTGTCAGCCAACTGAGGAAAAAATGGCTAATATATAACAATATAATGTACACGTATGTATAACGTAACACAATCATGCCGATTACATCATCTTTCCTTGCCGAATATAAAAATGTAGCACGTGCATTCTTGTGAATTACAGTATATTAACACTGTCATAGCAGGAACACATATAATTACCGTATCTCTAAAACTTGAACTAATATTGAAAAATAAGTTTCATTCCGGTTTTAGCACATTAAAAATAGTAATATTTTGTTGATTTTATTTAGGATATTTTTTGGCTGTTGATCAGTGTTATTATAGGATTATTGATGAGAATCTGAGAAAGGCCTTGGTAGTTGTGGCTTTTGTCCGCAGCAGTCTTTCCTGCTTCAGACTCCAAAACATCCTCCAAATCTATTTGCTGCCTTTATCGTTCTCTCTCGGATCATGACCTACTTTAATACCTCGCTGTCAAAGCTCGACCTCCTGAACATCAATCATCCCGCTTCTGAGGTAGTTCTCCTCGGAGATTTGAATGCCCGCAATGAGTTTTGATTGGGCTCAAACAAGACCGATGCAGCAGGTCGCGCAATTGAAGCATTCTACCCAGCTGGTAACGAGTCCTACCTTTTTCCCGCGTTTCATCACACGCCAGTAGCCTGTTGAATCTTTTTCTGGCCACGCATTCTGTCCTTTACACCAACGGGCTTTCCTCCTCAGGGCTCTCTTCCATGATGCCGCCGCGCGATCTGCCCACCTATCAGAGCTCTCTGCAGTTGATACATTTGTTATGCAAATATAGCATTTGTGGTTTGCTAAGCTACTTATCGTTCATGGCTGCATTTACCGTACACCTGTAACGTATGACCGCAATTCAATTTCCGCATCATAGCGTAATTAGGGTGGAACGGCGTATCCACTTCGGGAACGGGCTTGTGCATGTACATTGCGCTCTCAATAAGCGATTCTAAGCTGCCGGAAGGTTTGCTGCGTGTACGTTCGCCTTACGATATACAGTGCGCTGTTCAAAAAGGTGCCCCCCACTTTTTTCTGAGCTGAGATTTTCAAGTTCTCGAAGTGAATAAAGCTTGTAGGAGATTGTTTACATGCTGGATACTCTAGCTTCTAGCGCCAGCTCCCAATTCGTAAGCAATTGAAAGAAGATGAGCCTACCGGTGGAAGGAATAATAGAACTACCCACTTTCTGCTTAAGAAACAACTATTTTCAAGTAAGAGAATAATCATAAATCCAAGAGGAAGGTCTGCCAATCGGATCACCGCTTTCCCCGGAAGTAGCCAAATTATGCATGGAGTGGCCTGACTCTATCGCTGTTGAAAACTTCGATGTTAGCCGACGATTTGTGGACGACACTTTTGTAATGCGGAGCCATTTACAAGAGAAACTACAAGATAATACTTAAACAATCCAAGGTCATCGATAAAGTTTACAAGGGACGAGAAGACAATCCTCCCATTCTTGCATGTCATGGTAACAAAGAACAATTCCAAAATAGAGACTACCGTATACAGAAAACCAACACATACACGACAATACCTACATTTTTGTTCCAGTCATCAAGCAACCACGGAAAAATGAGTAAATAGAACCCTTACCGACCCGGCAATATATATCTGCAATACGCAAACAAATCTCCAGGAAGAAATCAAGCAAATCCAAGAAGATTTAATAAGAAGTGGCTACCCAGGACGTCTGGTAAATGAAGTTCTGAAAGGAAACAACACCGACAACAGCAGAAACTCGCGAAATGAACCCAAGCATACGCCAAGTCTATCATACGTTGAAGGAATAAGTGATGCAATTAGAAGAATAGGAGGACGATGCCAAATCGAAACTAGATTTTTAAGAAACACCACACCTAGCAATATTGTATAACGTATATCCTAAAAGTTTTGTCACAGAATTCATTAGTTTTAACTAACACAAAATAATATCAAGTTGTCTTTGGGAACAAAAGTTTGTTTGCTCAGTTGACTTTTATTTATTTTCGGGAAGTCAAAGAAATAATGCTTAAGCTATTTCAAATGATTTACTTCTTTTCTTTGCTCTATTTCTTCCTTCCTTTCTTTCCTTCTTTCCCTTTTCCCCTTAAGCATGTTTGGTATCTGGGTAGCCATACCTGACTGACTAACAGACCGACGAGACTTTTAACTAAGAGCAAAGGTCCAACGGACCGCTCTGACGAACAATGACTAGTAGTAGAACGGCAGGAGTATGTTTGCCGGTTGACCTGATGAAAATTGAAGATCACATCAATCGATACGCCGTGAAACAAAAAACTTACACAATGAAAGTCCGAGAAACAGCATCTCAAATATCCAATCTGTTACAAAATTTCAAACAACAGTTAGATTCCTAATTAACTGTCAAAGAGACCATAGGGTCGTGCTGGCGCTTTATGTGTACTTGGTGTCGGTGCTCCCGCCCGTGAGGTCTTTGTGTTACAAGCGACTTCCAAACATTTCGCCAATTTGACTGGTAACTATTTTCCATGGG